TGTCGACAAGATGGTTCAAATGTAAAAAAAAAATGAAAAAATGGATATGTAACCGGGAAATAGGGGCTTTTAGGGAAAATTATCATGCCTCTAATTCCCACTTAGCTGGAGCTCTGATGTTCTCTTGTGAAGACTAAAAGTGGTACGGTGGCCTTACAGATGCCAGTCGAACAAGCCTGGTTGAATTTTGCTAAAAACTTGCTTGAGCTGAAAAGAAGCTGAATCTTTTGGTCTAATGTAACTAGAGCAGGTTCTGAGATGTCCAGCATGTCTGGAGATGAAAAGCAGTGCTTTATTAAGCATGGAGGTGGCAGCATTATGCTGGAATTATGTTTTCATGGGCATAGCATTCAACATAGGATCTGATTTAGATAGAGAGATTATACAAAAATGAAAAATTCTGAAATCTGAAGGTAAAAATTACAAAGCATGGGGCTTCACAAGCAGTTTATGAATGCCCCTAAGTGACTCTGTCACAAGATTGACTTAAATGCAATTTATCATCACACTTGAGAGTTAAAAATGCAGTCAGATAATGCTGGCCATCCAAATGGGTTCAGTTTAAGAGGATCTGTATGAAATAATGGGACAAAACACCTCCAAATTTGTGGCAAGCATATAGAGGAATCCAAAAGAGGCTGTGATTGGTGCCACAGATGCACAAAAGTCATTCAAACCACATGTGTGAGTACTTACAAAACGCTAAATAAAAACAAGAAATGGGTTTGAGGAGTAGAGGAAGTGCATGTGCCCTTTATGTGAAGCACTTACTCCTGAATACAAATGTCCTCGTTTCAAAGCCCAATCCTATCACCTACTTGCAAATACTTGCGCCTAAAAATGGGTTCTGCTGTGTTAATATGAGGTTTTCTGTGTCAGAATACTACAGTCGTTTTTAGTAAATTTGAATATTACTCTTGATGAGGCTCATTTGTCCAAAAAGTTCAATTTGAAAATAATATTTAAGCAGCTTTAGTAAACATAAATTTTTGTCTAAAACAAAATATGGAGAAATTGAAGCAAGATGACACTTTCTGTTGGCAGTGTACCTTTCTCTAAATGAAATCCCTTCACCTGTTTCAGGAGCAGCCTTATATCTTCACAAGCATAAACAGTCTTCCCAATTTGGAACCAACCTCAACCTCAGTGCCAACAATGAGCAGCAGTACAGCAGAACCTTGCACCCCACATTGTCCAGGCACTGTCAAAGGATGGCTTGCTGCTGTGCTGACCATCATTGGCCTACTGGTTGGGTGTTGCGTCACCGGGGTCCTCTGTTTCTGCAAAAACAAGCGAAGCAAGAAGAAGAGGACAAGGGCTGCAGTTGACATGAACAGCTCTGCTCCCAACACTTATTCTAACTCAAACACTAGAGAACCCAGGCGGAGAAGCGAGGATAGTGAGGGACAAAACAGCTCCTTTTGAAAACTTGGTGGTCTCAGAAATAATGTAACTGTTTCCTTTTCAACAAGGTACCACATCTCTGTCTGTTTTGATTGGAAAAATATATGTTTTACTTTATTTTCTGTGTTCAGTAATTTAACTGACTGAATGAGAGCAAATGCCCTTAAGCTTTGTTTAAACATATCAAAAACGAGGAACAGTTGCACATTTTATCCATGCATAATCAGGTAAGGCATATTTAAAAGTTGTAGCTGGTCTAACAACTAACATATATATAGTCACAAACCACTGCAGAGAACATGCAAAATGTGCAAGGACGCAGACTACCTATGCTGGTTGCACATTACCTCCTGCCTCATATCTGTAACTCGGGTTTTTATATAATGTAACATAAAGTAATAGATATAATGTTCTGCTCAAAGCTGGACAGAAATAAGTGTACATAATGTGTGGTTATTGTGTGGCATTCTTCTTTCAATGTTTGGTTTAAAGAAAATAATTGTATATTTTGTTGGAATAAATGATTTGAGGGTGATATTTTTGTCCTTGTGCTCCTTGAAAAGCTGTAAAAGTGTTATAACATCCTAACTGAACCCTTATAATGGGTAAGGCATGACACAGCTTCCTTTATTTATAACACCACTTAAAGGGGTGGAAAATACTTAAACCAAAAGAAGAAAATGTAAATATCATTAGCGTATCAGTTAGGACAAGGTCGAAGGATATTATAAAAAATACATTATATTTAATAAATGATGTCCATTACTAGTTTTTCTTCATTGTTTTTGTTTACTGTGAGTCTCGTTGCATAACAGTTTAGGTAAACAGCCATACTTCGGTAGGTTTGCACTTGTTGAATGCATGGGCTTCCCATTTTGTGCTGAGAAATTGATCTTAAATCTGCAATGTATTTAACGCCTGGGATATGCTTTTGGTATGCTTTATTTCTCCTCTCCTTATTTTACTTACATGGCTGTTTGGTTTTTTAACTATGGAGCTCCATACTATGGAGCTAGAAGGGTGTCAGTATTCACAAACTCACATATGTGATCCCCACATGCACAGGACAAGATGCATACATGCACAGAGTAAGATCCATACATGCAAAGGAAATGATCCACACATGCACATGACAAGATCCAAAAATGCACAGCACAATCCACACAAGTGCAGAAAAAGATCCATACATGCAAATGATGATCCAAAAAGGCATATGAATGTAATATTTACAAGTAAAGATACACAATTATATCTTAATTTATACCCTACCAGGGGTTTTTAACAACTTCGCTGCATTTGTGTGTGGATTTTTTTAAACTCCCCTAATGTGACTCAGTTCATTTTCTTTTTTTTTTTACCAAGCTGGAACCAATTAGGTAACTCCACTGCTGCAGCCAACCACATGAACATTTAACACATGAGCAATGATTTTGTTATAGAATACAATAAAATAGAATAGAATAGTTTTACTTTATTTATTCCAAGCTGGGAAATTGTAGTGTAGCAGCAGCTTTACACATAGTGACAGTCACAACACAATAAGATAAAGAAAAAGTAAAAAATCACATAACATCCACACGTATTTACATTATAAAAGTACAGTGAACAGTCCTAAGGTGCAGTGAACAAATTATAAATAATGTATTAAAAACATGAAGTGCAGTACAGTACAGTGCTGGTTACTATATGCTGAAACAAGAGGTTATTTTTTATTGTACAATGTGAAGGCATATGGCAGGAAAGATATCCTGTATCTGTCCCTTCGACAGCGGAGCTGGAGCAGCCTGTGAGAAAAGGTGCTCCGCTGTCTGACCACTGTGTGGTGGAGAGGGTGCTGATCATTGTCAATGATGGATAAGAGTTTATTCAGCGTTCTCCTCTCCACCACAGTCTCAAAAGACTCCAGCCTGAGTCCAAGTACAGAACCAGCCCTCCTGATGATTTTATCAAGTCTGTTGGTATCGCTGGCTCTAATACTGCTGCACCAACACACAGCAGCAAAGAAAATGGATAAATTATATGGAATAGTAGAATGCCACTGAAGCCAACAGAAAGAGGCAGAGATATTTGGATTCTATATCCTATTCCAGCTGTTGCTTTTCATGTTTTGTGTTGTGTTAATTAAAAACAACCCACATTGGTTAATATTCTTTCACCTTTTTTAAAGATATGTTTAATAAGATTATATTAAATCAACAACAGTTCCACATTAAAAAAAAATAATAAAGCAATGAATAAATAGTGTAGTAGAAACAAAGTTTTTTTCAGTTACAGACAGCCAAATTTTGATTAAGTAAGGAATGCTATTTAGAGGCATGGCGGAGGCATTTAAAGAGGCTGTTTCAATTTAGTCTCTAAAGGGATTGTTAAGTCTTCTATCATTCATACTTTTCACATAGCTTCCAGAGTTGACCCCCAACCCCGCTCTGCACTCTGCCCAGGCATTCAAACTCCCTGCTTAGCCTCCAGAGCTAGACCCAGATCTGGCTCAGATCTACCACTATCCTCCTCCAAAGAGCCGGTAGAGAGCGTGCCAGAGAAAGACCACTGACCATACACCAATCTGGAGCAAAGAGAACTAACAGCAAGAAATATAGCAAGGTGTGATTGGTTTATAACAAAAAAGTATACATGTGGTATATGTTTTACGAGATTGGCAAAAAATAATGAGGTTATCTACTTGGTTGCAAATCAAAGATTGTTAAAATTGGATTTGTGCATTGAGTCACATCAGGTAAGTTTCTAAAATCAACACAAAAATGCACAAGTAGTTTATAAATAAAGATTAAATTGTGTGTGCATCAGAAATAATTTTGTGAATCTTGTCTTGTGAATATGTAATTTGCATGTGCTTGTTTAAATCATTATTTGCATGTGTGGATTTTGAGCATGTGTGGTTAAAATATGTGAGTTTGAGACTTTTCTAGCTCCATATTAAACAAGTTATGTAACCATCGTCTAAATAGCTGGATTTATTAATATTGTTGATATTAAATTAAATGACCTACCTGAACGATCATTTACATTATTTCTAAAATCTGTTTTTCCACTGTATTTTATTTAGGAGTCTCAGGATTAAAAAGGGATGACTGTTTACATTGAATCCACACTTTTCAGAACCACCTTCTTAAGAAATTTTAAAAAGATTGTTTTCCCCCACCTTAAAACTAGCAAAGTGCAAATAATAAGAGAATAAATCCGAAGGTAATTTGGTTTTTAGAGTCACAAAGGTTTTTATACTTTTTCAGGGCTTTTTTGTTTGTCTTTTAGCGATTTTTTAGATAAAGATTTAATATTTTCTGATTGGAAAACATAACATAGTTATCTGTTTAGATTAAGCAATGAATAATAATCTTAACCTGTACCTAATTTGCTTTGTTTTGATGTGCACAAATTGGCCTTCTGTTTTATTTACATTACTGGAATTAGGGTACGTTTTGTGATTTATAATTATTGATACAGTCTTATGGAAAATTGTAATATTTTATTTTGTAGTTTTTATTACAAAATTTCCCTATGAATAGCAGAGAATTAAACGTTTAATCAGCTTGCCTGGTATCACTGTTTTGTATTTTTTGTGTCTTTTTTCTCGACAGCGCCCTCTAGTGTCTACTGTGAATAACAACCAGTTGACACTGTTCAACATCAGTGAAGATGGCGGAGGGGGAATTGAACGTGGATAGCCTCATCTCTCGTCTTCTGGAGGGTAATTTATCTTCTTAAATGTGTTTTGTTTAACACAGCAGAAGTTCGGGTTTTGCCATTCGGGTCGTCTAATTCGAGTGTTTCACTAACTACCGTTTCTTTTTCTTTTTTAAAGGATCGCAGGCTAGTGTTAGCAGCTAAGGCTAACATCAGCCGTTGGTATCGTTGTATCCCCGGGCTAGCTGCTGCTAGCATCGCCGTTAGCTGCCTGGCCGTGTTTATAAACACTTCCAGCAATGAACGCCTACATGTTTTCATTGGCGCAGTTTTATTAGAGGCTTTGCGTAACTTACAGTAACCCCCCCAATTGTTTTAAATGCATAAAAACATTTTGTGCATTGCGGTTTTATAGCTTCTGTTTTTATTTTGCACATTTATTTTCTAAACGGTTGATGTTCAGTAGGAGGGGCGGGGACGTTTTTGCTTTGCCTCGGGCAGGTTGTTTGAAACGGCCCCGTTACTAACAAGTGGAAGGCAACACATAAAAGCAAAACAAAATACAGCATTAACTATTAGCTACTCTTTTTTTTTTTTTTTTTTTTTTTTGCCAATATAGGTGTATTTCTTTGATTGCATTGTCTTTAAATGCATTTGTTCTTCGGCATGAACTCAATGGGGATTATCCCTGTATGGTAATCTTGTGTATAATTATACTCAATAATTACTCATACAGATACGTTTTTTTTAACTACTACATTTACTGTAATGTTATCTTAAACATTTATTTTGTTTCTCATGTATACACTTAATCAGGATATATATATAAAAAAGAAGAATACAGCTTTTTGCTGGTTATACTTATCTGTATTTTTTTATGAGTAATGCTCCATTCCCACACATTGTCTGCCATACATTCACACTCTCCTTGCCAATAAAGTATTACACTGGTTAGATGTGCTTACACTGTTCTTTATGCCCACTCCACGCCTAGTGCAAATTTTAGTGATGGAGATTCTACTGTTCAGGGAAAAAAAGAGGATGCATTGCAACTACAGGTCCTTTTCAAAATATTAGCATACTGTGATAAAGTTCATTATTATTATTATTTATTTATTATTTCAGGTATTTTATTGTCTTAATACGGATGATTTTGGCATACAGCTCATGAAAACCCAAAATTCCTATCTCAGAAGAGAATCTGTGGGATATTGTCAAGAGAAAGTTAAGAGACTCAAGACCCAACACTCTGGATGAGCTAAAGGCTGCTATCGAAGCATCTTGGGCCTCCATATCACCTCAGCAGTACCACAGGCTGATTGCCTCCATGCTACGCCGCATTGAAGCAGTCATTTCTGTAAAAGTATTACGACCAAGTATTGAGTGCATAACTGTGCGTAATTATTTGAAGGTTGACTTTTTTTGTATTAAGAACACTTTTCTTTTATTGGTCAGATGAAATATGCTAATTTCATGAGATAGAATGAATAGTTTTTTTCATGAGCTGTTTGCCAAAATCATCCATATTAAGACAATAAAAGACCTGAAATGTTTCAGTTATTGTGCAATGAATCTAAAATATATGAATATTTAAGTTTTATCATTGGTCTTTTTATTTTAGCTACATATGTTTTAACAGTTGAGATTTGAAAAAATAAATGCCATTTTACAGACTTGATGGTCGTCTGCGTGCATCTACTGCAATGCATCAATGTAGATGTTCATTGGATATCTTTTATAGCAATTCAATGTTAAATAATTTGAAAACAAAACAGATGTGTGTGGGTGAGAGTGTTGAACTACAATGCATAGAATGCTCTGCATAGATGATTCCACAATCCCATTCTAATCCGTCATGGTTGAATGTTTTCACATAAGCCAACTCTCTTTGTTGTGTTTAATGTTTTGAATAGAGGCCATTCATTCACCCAACCGAAAAAGAATATCTCCCTTTTCATTTGATATTTGACCAGAATCCCATGGTTTCTTTGTGTTTGCCTCAAAGCTGCCCTGTTTTTTTAGTTTCACATTTTATTTGGTTTAAGTGTGTGGGAAGCTTTACTGATTCATCCTTCAACATATATTTAAATCCCTTTCAATTGTTTGTTTCTTTCTAAAGACTCATAAGAAGATAAAAGTGCAAAAGTGAGACATATTTGATCTTTAAATTGTTTTTACCAGTCAATAAAGGGGCAAATTTAGCTGTAATTGGTTTGTGGCCACAATCATGGGTTTCTATTATAAACAAATCCTGTAAAACATAAGTGATATTAACTTTCTGTTTATGCTAGAAATGTTTTTCATTATTTTTTTTTGGGGGGGGGGGGGGGGAGTGGCAGTTAGTATTGTTGTAGTATAGTTTTTTTTTTTCCAGTTCAAAAATCGACTGATAGTCTGCAGTCTGCAGTAATTCTCTCATTTGCAATGGTTTATCGATTATGTTTAAAGGTGTGTCAGCCTTGTTATTAGGATTACCTCGTAGTTCAGACTTTTTCCGCTCAGTAACCAGAAGTAACCAAAGTTAGGCCTTTTAGTTAAAGCCGTTTGCCCAATAAAGGATTATTTCTTCTAGTAGTAATAATAAAGTAGTAATAATAAAGCAAAAGCTTCAAACAAATACCAAGAGAAACTTCAACACTTGAAATACACAAGTAAAAAAAGAATATTCTGAAATGAATTTGCATCAAGTGTAGGTATATTTTTATGGTATATTACCTTAGAGCAGGCAGAAATCCAGCAGTCAGTGTTCTGTTGGCCAATTTTAGATTTTTTGTTTTTTTGGAGATGTTGCAAGATAACTGTCATCTGTCTGAATTGGTAAATGTAGGTTTATAAACTGAAATATATTTAGGTTTTGTATTTCTTTCAACTCATACATTTGTGACAATAAACGTGTAGAAATTAGGAATACATATTTGAACTGTAAAAAACTACAAGTAAGATTCATCACATATTTACAAGTAGAAACCTAGACCCCCCTGATGAAGCTGTTACAAGTTGATTTTAGCAATGCACCTGTGCACACAAAATGAACGAAAAGTAGATGAAGACAAAAACGGATCCATCAAAAGAGCATTATATTTTTGCTGAAACCTTGTTTTTAACGCACTCAGAGTATATTTTCTATTACTGGTATTGGAGCCGATTCTACTACTTTCAGCTTTTGCCACTGGTTGATCTGATAAACCTAATCTCTTCTAGAAGTGGCAGTCTGCAGCATGCCACTGCAACAGTGAAATATTGAGCGTTAAAGCCGAGTAGGCTGATCATCCCAGCTTAACGTACTCCATGCTGATGGGGTCTGCTAATGAGCACAAATGCACTGAATGTGGGTAAAAAGTAGATGGCCAATTATCAAAAAAAAAATAAAATAAACAGGCTAAAGCTCTATAATGTTTTGGGTCATCGGATGCATCATCTGTAAATGTTTGTTATTTTATCATGTTTGATTTAATGTCTAAACCTTGTAGCGCATTCAATTATATGACTAATCAGTGACAGAAACAGAATGGAAGTTTGAGTGCTTTTGTTGGAATAGGATGTCAAATGTGGGTGTAGATTAATATGTACAGAAAAGCATTCCCTAAGGTTTACATTAGTTTTCATTTTTCTCTTTTCTATTGGTTTGTTTAAAAAAAACAAAAAATGTTAGAAAGCGAATTTTAGCAAACCATTATTTTTTCTTTCACTCTTTCTTGGACCTTTTCCTGGCATTTAGCTGTATGGAACAGATAAAATAACTATAGTTTTTGAGTAATTATGCTATTTTAGCCGCTGTTAAAAAAAAAGAGGCTACTGAAACCTGAGAATACAATAAGTTTTCTTTTGTTTCATTTACCTTTAAATAATCCATTTTGACATCACCTTATTCAGTTGCGGACCCCAGCCAGCATTTAGCAGCTCTCTCTTTTCCTTTTACTGTTCCAAGATGGGTCAGAATAACATAAAGTAGGTTAAGCCCACACTGGTGCATCAAAGGCCAAACAGCAAACACTGCGAGTTAGGATGTTAGCGCTTTCACAGCTTCAGCACCGGGTTTCTAAAGTTCTGCTGAGGCTAATCGGTTCTAAGCATCATCTTTACACTCCCAGTTCCTCTGCTTAGAAGAAGACTGAAGTGGTTCTGCTTGAAGCGTGATTCCAACGTTGCCCCTTTCTGATGCTGCCCCTGCTGCTCCTTGAGAGAAGACCTCATTATTAAAGCTGACAGTCTCTCTTACAGTCATGTTTTGCTCTTACAGTGCGAGGATGTCGTCCGGGGAAGATAGTCCAGATGACTGAGGCAGAGGTACGTGGCCTTTGCATCAAATCCAGGGAGATCTTCCTCAGCCAGCCAATCCTGCTGGAGCTCGAGGCTCCTCTGAAGATTTGTGGTCAGTGCTTTCTGTTTCTGTTTCCTAACCATCATGTACTTATTTTTACCTCCAAGGAGATTATGTTTTTTGTCGAGTTTGGTTCTGTCTGTGTGCCGGATAACTTTAAAAGATATAAACCGATTTTAATGAGATTTTTACCAAAGGTGCACCACCATCCATGCAACAATCCATTCCATTTTGGTGATGATCAACATTTTAATCCGGATGCAGGAATTTTGTAAGGATTCTTCAACATTATTGGCAGAACAAGCACTTACCCCCTAAATCAGAGAGTGGCAGCACTGACTATTGATAGCTTTGGACTCAAAAAAGTCCTGAAGTATTTTAATGAAGCCAAAAACACAGGAATGGTGAGCCATGCCTCGCTTGAAGTCCTGATCTGCTGACTAAATAAGAAAGCCGAGTGAATGAAAAACGTGAGAACAGAACATTTGGTAATGATCCAGATCATGTGTGAGTTTTAGCTCTAGGTAAAGGTCACAATATGGGGCAGCATTTGTTGCTTGGTGGAGGTCTGGGCTCTCTGAGGAGGGCTTTTCTAGTTTTGGTCTTCTGTCTTTGTTTCTTTGGTATTCTCCAAACATTTTTATTAGAGTCCCCTTAAATCGATTTTTTTGTTTGTTTGTTTGTTTGTTTGTTTGTTTGTGTCTTTTCTATTAAAACTATTATTCCTGCTGTTCAACCATATAAGCCACTATGCAACTATGACTAAAATATGGCCAAACAATTGATCCTGAATTTGTGAATAGGTCTAGATAACTACTTTATATGGCATGGCAGAAGGTTTTAAATAAAATAAAGACCTGACAGAGTTTACTCTACACACAATATGATGTCATCTCTGATATCATCTAAATAATTAAGGACCACTCGGGGCTCCTCCTGGAACAAGCCAAAAGAGAAAGCAAAATGAGTGAAAAAAGACAAGATAACATAACTTTCTGCTTGCTTGATTTGTTCTGAAGAATTTTATTTTTTAAGTAGTAGTGCCTAGACCTATCAACTCAGAAATGTCGGTCTGCTTTTATTCACAGAGCAGTATTTCTTAGAAACCTTGTGTCCTGGCATTGGTTGATAAAGAATACATAACCAAAGAATGAATCTTATGGATGCACAACATTTATTTTTCCACTGATATCTAATTTTGTGATATTTTATACCTCAACCAATCATTAACTGTTAATCATTTTTCCTCTAGACCTACTGATAAACACTAGTTTTTTCCCCTGTCCTTTTATAATAATTATAAAATAGCAGTTTGGTTTTCTGTAAAAAAAACAAAAAAAAAAAAACAATATTTTTACTTGAGCATGTTTCCTGTGGCCGACTAATGCACCAGTTGGGTGCACATGTCCCTCTGGAGCTGCATGCGTAATCTTCACTCATTTGTCACGAAAACAGGACCTCTTATATAGTTCTATTGGGATAATAGCCATTATCTAATGTTTAGTTTTATGGCTGAAATTAGCTGATGATAATACGAATCCGTAATTAATTTTCATGCAGTTTCTATTTCAATTAGATCAACGTTTAGTGGACATTCAGGCTAAGTTTGCAGATGCCCCTTCTTGCCAAAGGGCTTCGAGAGAGTTTCACAGTCTGAGACACCAAAGTCCAGCTCAGAGACCCTGTGTCTCTGCTTTGAAGCCCTGCAGCTCTTTTCTTAGGTCTCGGCTTCAATGTTTCATGCCTGTTGTAGATTAGGTTAGTATATCTTGAAGTTATTTGCAGTTTTATTTTTTTGTAGAACCAGTTAAGTTATGTAAAACAAATACATAATATAGTTTAAAGAGCTTACCTGTTTAAGAAATAAATTGAGGTTTGTGACTAAAAATATGAAAGAAATTGAGAAGTGCAGAGGATATAAATGTTTCTTTGATGTTTCTATAATAATTTTTTTAAAGGCTGTACCCTAAAATCCATTAACTGAATTTAGAGAAGCTCTTTCTGCCAGCGAAGTGATGGGTGCACTGTAGTGGCAAAGTAGTCCACAAAGCCTGGTCTGCACAGCCTAGAGCAGCAATTTGTTGTTTAGCTCTGTGCACTGTGTGTGTGCCAGCGTTCTGCTTGTTGGATTTTAGACATTTAAGAATAGAAAAACGGCAAAATACAAAACACGATGTTGATGCGGTGACATTGTGTGGTCATATATCTACGGGTGCCAGCTGTGGCTAGGGTTTTGGTGCAGAAAATACCAAATACCAAGCTCGGATAAAATATAGGTTTCTGTTTTGGTTGCTTCACTTAGATTTTAATTTGTATTTAATGTTATCTCGTAATGAGGCACTCCCACAAAATGACTAGGACATAATTTAAGTTCCTTTCTTTGTTACTATAAAGTCAGTTATTATTGTCCTTTTGAGGTTAAGACCACTTTAGTCATCTTTGTCTATACTTCTCTGCCCAAATGAGAGCAACTTTTAAATTGACACAAAAGGATACTAAAGGCAGCAGGCCATGGCTGAGTGATAAAATGAGTGTCCCCAGCAGAGACTTTGTGCTTTACATTTAGAACTCATCTGAAAGGTCAAGGATGAAAGACTTCTTGTCCTAAATCCTCTGAGAGTAGTTACAAGAAAATTTAAAACCTATCTTGGTGTAACTGCAGGTGGATTATGTATCCTTTCCTTTCATGAACGGCTATTGAAATACTTTCCTTTCGAGCACATTCTTTTTTTAACCATGTTTTAAAGTAGGGATGCACGATATTGGGATTTTGGCCGATATCCGATATGCCGATATTTTAAAACTCATGTAGCCGATAACCGATATCGATACCGATGTTAAAGCTGGACAAAAATAAGTAGTAATTGAAAATAGCAGTTTTATCCAGTTTAATTCTGAAAAAAATCTTCTTTAAGGAACCTTTTGCTATCCGATTATAACCGATCAATTGAAAAAATAATCGACAGATAAATACTTGTTAGTTGCGGCGTAATGTAAGGTCACAACAAGAAATTATCTTTTTAGATTTTCTGGTAGATAATAGATTTCAAAGTGCATGAAAAAGTTAATTTGAAGAAATTATTTTTATTTTCCTTTTTTAATGCTGTTCCTTTAATGTCAGAAATCTAACCTGAAGCACATTTTGAAGGTTCTGCTTTTCCCCTCAATGTGTCGAATAATTTTTCAGGTTTTTAGGAGGTGGTGGTATGAAGGGTGATAGAATTAAACTTTACTGTCATCACACTGTCACAAGTACAAAGTAACGAATTTCACCCTTTGCATTTAACCTATCCCTTTGGGAGCAGTGGACTGCCATTGTGCGGCGCCCGGGCAGAGTGGCAGTCCATGGGAGTGGGACTTGAACTTAGAACCTCTGGGATCCAAGCGCAATGCCCTTACCACTAGGCCCCCACTCCCTTGTTTGCAGTGTTGAGGCCATTTTGCTTCTTCTCTTGTTATTGATGAATCATAAAAAAAAATATAAAACGTAACATTTTGTATGTCAACTTCCATTTAGGTGACATCCATGGGCAGTACACTGATCTGCTGAGGCTGTTTGAGTATGGAGGCTTCCCTCCTGAAGCAAACTATCTCTTCCTGGGTGATTATGTGGACAGAGGGAAGCAGTCCTTGGAAACAATCTGCCTTTTGCTTGCCTACAAGATCAAATACCCAGAGAACTTTTTCCTGCTAAGAGGAAACCACGAGTGTGCTTCCATCAACCGCATCTATGGATTCTATGACGAGTGTAAGTGAGTTTATACAGGAGTAGATTCTGAATCACACCAGACATTCAGTTCCTAAAATGTGTGCTCGTATATTTGCAGGCAAGCGCAGATTCAACATTAAGTTATGGAAGACCTTCACAGACTGCTTTAACTGCCTCCCCATTGCAGCCATCATTGATGAGAAGATATTCTGCTGCCATGGAGGTGAGGAGCTGAAGTTGGCTCTGTTTTGAAGAAAAAGAGAAAGTGGCAGATTTTGCAGACATTTTAGATGCATATAGTTTTTTCTTTAATCATAAGTCTATGTTTACTTTCTATCTCAGGGCTTTCACCTGACTTGCAGTCAATGGAGCAGATCCGCAGGATCATGAGGCCAACAGATGTGCCAGACACAGGTACTGCTTCCTTATATACCATTCACAGTACCTCTGGACAGCGGCCACACATTTTCTTTTATAATTATTTCAGATGAGTGCAAGCACCCTCTGTTCCCCAGAATCTATGTCCTGTGTGTGTTAGGCTAAATTCTAAGTTTTTTATAATTATTGTTTTCTGCTTTGTGTGCACGTGTCAGGCCTCCTGTGTGACCTGCTGTGGTCGGATCCTGATAAGGACGTGCAAGGCTGGGGAGAAAATGACCGTGGAGTCTCCTTCACCTTTGGGGCTGATGTGGTCAGCAAGTTCCTAAACCGCCACGACCTGGACCTCATCTGCAGAGCCCACCAGGTAATTACTGAATTTGAAGATGCTCAATGTACTACTAGCCATGCTTCTCCAGTTGACAGACCCCATTAACTATTTGTTTTCCCTGCATCATACATAGAGTGAGCCTGTAATGATAAGGCCGATGTTTTCCTTGATAGAATTGTTACAACCGTGTGGAAGTTCTCTCTACCTTACTGTTTCCATTTTGTTTTTGTTTTTTAAACTTTTGTTAATTTTAATAGGATTTTTTCCCAGACATTAATACATGGTATTACATATCTGGAAACTGTGAGTCAAGGAATTTTAATTCCTTGTGAGTCAAGGAATTCAAATTTTTGTTTTGCAAAAAACGCAACAATTTAAAAGTGGTGTTTATTTTAATGAATTCACCTGATTAACAGTTTGGTAGATCTACAGATTTAGAGTATGCCTGCACTAGCTTGACATGTTTTTCCAAAGCAACTCTAGCTCAGTCAGATATGGATGGAAAAGGGTCTTAGAACATCAGTTTGAAAGTCTTCCCACACATTCTCAACTGAATTTAGTTCTGGACTTTAACAGTGTAAAGCATTACCTTTATAGCCATCTTTCCATCCAAATTTATTGAGAATTTTAAGCAAACTTTCAAAAAGTTGGAAACAATGTGAATAGGGGGTTTTCATGTGACGTCGCGCTCACGTGACTACTCAGCGCGTCCGCCATATTAGGTGGCAGCCTTAGGCAGTATTGACAGTGAAAAATGGTGAAATCGTGTGTAATTGTTGGTTGCACGGCCCGTGGAGGTGGAGATCAACGCTCTTTCTATCGCATACCAGCCGTAATCGTGAATCAATGTGAAAAAACAAAACAGCTATCTGAACAACGCCGTCACCTATGGCTGACACGGATATCCAGGTCCGATTTGGACGGTGTTAAGCTGGAACACGCCAGAGTCTGCAGTGCTCACTTTGTCACAGGTAATTAACTGTCAAGCATTTAAAACATGTAAGAATATATTAATAATAGGGTTTGGGCGTCATGACGTATTACTTTCCGTGGCCGCAATGTTGACCGTCTCCGCCGCCGCTACTCAGACTACTGCCTATGACCACCGCATACTGGACTCCCTCTGTCTGCCGTGTTTTAATTTGATTAATTTCACCTTAACTTGATTTCAACCAGCGGGAAAAGGCTCAAATATGTGAGAAACCCGGAGGGTTTAGGGAGGTTTGGCAGTTAACGTTACTAACCAAACCTTTGAAACACATAGCAGCTAGTTAAAAGTACATTACATGCCTGAGTGGTTGTTAGCACTAACGGTTAGCACTGTTTGCTGGCTTTATGAGCTGCAGCTCCTGAACCCATCCATTCGTAAACTGCACATGAGACTCCAAGGACTTGTAGCTTTGGAACTGTTCGCGCACCGCCGGCCGTTAGCCACCTAGCATAGCGAGCCCTGCGTCGGATTGTTTACATTTTTACCATCTTATTAAAACTCACCCGTCCACGTATGATGGCGATTTCCTTCATGTAAATCACTTCGACATCTCGTACCCAACCAGATGTGAACTGGTTGTGAGCCTCTAGACCCTTGTACGCTCTCATTTCCTCCAGAGTGTGCAGAGGGTTTTCACTGAACACCGGGTAATGAACTATGTTACCGTGCTCTACATTTGGCCAATCATCTGGATTAGTGCTAAACACTGCAAAAAATAGAAATCTCAATAAGTAATTTTTTCTTAAAATAAGTGTGTTTTTCCTTGAATTGAGGAGGTAAGTAAGACACTTTGCCAATGGAACAAGACAATTTCCTTTTAAAATAAGAAAAAACTATTTTATCGTCTTATTTCAAGTAAATATTATCTAACTATCTTATTTTATGAGTAAAAATACTCATTCCATTGGCAGATCATCTTATTTACCTGCTCAAATTAAGGGTAAATATACTTAATTTAAGAATTTTTTTACTTATTTCTGGATTGTTTTTGCAGTGAACAAGGCACCGTGGAGGGCATAGGGGTCCATATGGTCGATCACGGAACATTTCCTCAGATATGTTCCATGATCTGGTGGCTCTAGCGTGCTGGCGTACTTATCTATTCGCGACATGATATATTTAATATACGATAATATGCCACCCAAGATGGCGGACCGGGAGCTGGCCAGTGACGTCACTGAAAACCCCCTATTATCCATGTTTTAATTAACGAGGAAAAGAGACATCATATTTTGACCTTATGCTTGGCTGTAGTAAACAGGAAGTAGAGTTAGCAGGCTAGCACAGACCAGTGATGGACTGAGGTTTTAATGAATTTGTTGCAGTCGGCAAATTGTAATTATTCTATCAGGTCAGTATTGTATTAGTGAAGGCTCATGCCATCCGGAGACATCAAGAGAGAAGTATGATTCTAACGCTGCATTCAGGATGCCAGCTTTAGGCAGAAACAGCTCATCAGTCATCTGATATAAATATTTGCTTCATCAGAACTAATTTGGAAAATATGTTTCAATCTCCTTTTAGGTGCATTTATGCTTACTGAAAAAAATATAGACCATCTCCAGCAAGTGTAAAAAAAAATGTATGAAGTTTCCTAAGTATGATTCAAAATGCGCAAAAAAGGGTTGATGGAAACACATCTGTTTAGGGTTGTTGTTTCCCTGTATTTTCACCCCAGCTTTAAGGCTTTGGCAGCCTTAAATCAGATTTCTGCTTTTATTCCTCCACCACCATGTTCAGTGGTTGGTGATGTATATTTACAAGTTAGGGCTGAAACAATCTCATTGATACTGATTAAGACCTTTTGTTTGCATAGCAGTGTATTATTTTTGAAACAGCCTTTGTCAGTTATGCAGATAAATCTCTACAACTACAAAACAGGTTAAGCAAAGACCATATAATACTGCAGCCTAATGCATCAATAAAAAATGCTCTGTGTAACAACAAGAAACTACATCTGGGAAAGAAAAAAAAAGAAAAACTAGGGAATGAATAAATTAAAGCTCTGACTGCCAGATCAGCTTAATATTCTGTATCAGCAAACTGTATGTCTTTTTTTTGTAGGCGATGACTTTGTTCCTGCCTCTCTTCAAAACACCTTTCTGTAGCGCATGCCCCATTGTCCTGAAAAGATTCTACAGCTTGAGTTTTGAATCTCTTAAGCTCTTGTGGAATAAACATTGGCCTCTTGGCTACTTCTCTGATTTATGCTCCTTTCCTGCCTGTCAGATACTTGTATGTATTTAAATGTCTTAAGTTGTGCAATACTGTTTTGTTCCAGCTGATGAGTGGAACATTGTTTCGATATGTTGGGATACTGTTTAATAATCTAACACAGTGTTAAACTTCTACTGTGTGTCCTGGTCTTAGTATTTGTTCAAAAATGTTCAGTAATAAAACTATAAGGCCTTCATAGAACGACTGGAGTTAAAGTTATAATTTAAACACATCTGATCTCCATTTACTAATTAATTGACTTCTGAGTTTGCGCCCATCTCTGTTTTGTATTTGTATCTGTTCTGAATTCTGTGGCTATGAGATTAATCTTTGTTTTAACCACAGTGCCTGTGTTAATCCTCAGAAGGTTTCATGTTTATGTTTTTGTTTGCTCTGTCCTTATTGCATGGTCAGTTACTGAGAGTGGATGAAGATCTGTTTGTTGCTATCGATCGCTGTGGGCGTTAGAATAACACCAAGTGTCTTAAAACAGGTTGTGGAGGATGGATACGAGTTCTTTGCCAAACGCCAACTGGTCACACTTTTCTCGGCTCCAAACTACTGCGGGGAGTTTGATAATGCAGGCGGCATGATGAGTGTGGATGAGTCTCTCATGTGCTCCTTCCAGGTAGATAAAAAGAAAATGGAGTTCTGTTTTTTATGGAGTACTTCATTGGTACAGAAATAATCAATCTATTGTCTTCTCTGTTTTAAGATCCTAAAGCCCTCAGAGAAGAAGGCAAAGTACCAGTACGGTGGGGTCAATTCTGGTCGGCCTGTGACCCCACCGCGCACCACCCAAGCTCCCAAAAAGAGGTGAACACCCAGCTGTGGCTTTTCTCCCCACTCCTCGTCATTTTTATCCATTCCAGATAACCTAATAACGCCCCTTGAAGAAAGAACATCAGGGCTTATCTGATTGTCCAAATCCTACTCCTCTCAGCCAGCCTCTCGTCAAAACCACTGACAGCTTTTTTCTTAATGTGGATGTGTATATAAACTTGCTGTGATTTATCTGTTAGGGTTTTTTGCCTTTATGTTAAGATTTTTTTTTTTTTTTTTTTTGATAAAATGATTAAAAGTTAACCTAGTTGTGGTTTAATGCTTATGCTACTTGAGGTTATCTGGGAGTCTCTGCTGTGTAAGGAAAGGTTTTGTTTTCCGTCTGAGTGAGATGACAAGGTTAACATAAAAGACACATTTTTTTGGTCTTCGTGAAAACTAAATGAAGATTTGACATTCTTTTACTTTAACCTTTAAGAGGGAAAAAAAAAAGATTCATCTTGTGTGTTTTAATCGGGTCTGCATATAAGCTGCAGCTCCAAACCAACAGACGAAAAAAGAAAAAGAAAAAAAATGATTTCAACTGAACACAGCATGTGTAGTACTTTTAGTGGTTCTTGTGCACATGTAATTTTTTGTCAACTGTTAATAAAGAGCATCTTCATATTTGAATGAACAAATTAGGCTCCTTTAACTGTGGACTGCATCAGAATGTCTTCTTGGCATTGGTTTGTCTATTTCCGTTTTTCTTCCTGTACCTCATCTCTAATCCTACACAAAAAACATGCTGCTTTCTTTCAATAGCAGGTATTGATGCTGTTCTGTCATTATTTTTTTCATCCTGATTGTTTCCACCCTTCCTCCCTTCCTCTTATCCTCTCGATTTGATGACTGATCAGACAGTGTTATGAATGTCATGGGGGTTGGCAAGTATTGTTATAAGTTGATGATAAATCAAATTACAAAAATAAGAACCTCAGAGACCGCCATTAATATTTAACCATTTTATTCTAAGGTTGTTTAATACTAGCTTTCTTCTCCTCACCCATTCAGCTGAGGTACAAGGTGAGAAAACCAGCAGAGCTGGGAGTGGGCGGGAAGTTTTAGCTTTGTTGTGCGATTGTGTTGCCACCTGGTGTGTAAATATGAGACTACGGTGCAAAAAAGAAAAAGTCTTGTTTTACAGTATCCAAATAAACTGGGAAGGATTTTTTTTTCTTCACGACATTGCCAGTATGAAATGTGGTGTTGCTTAATGCTCTCCACTACCACAGTTAACACTAACCAGCTAAAAGGTTGGTTGGTGTCATCGTTAGTTTTTACTGATCATCAGATGCTTTTGAAATCTTAAACAGTTTTATTTTTTTTTCATTTTGGTTTGTTGTATTTTTATGTTTTTCATTATTATTAATTACTTTTGATCTGCCTAACTTATTTCCTTGGTGTTACCAAAAGCTGTTTTGCAGTTTGTAAAAGTTTATTTCCAAGTGAATACATTCAATAAAGTTGTTGAAAACAAGTGTTTTGTCCTTTCATCTTTTTAAACATGTGCCTCAATATGTAATTGAAATAAACACTATCAATCGCACTATTATATAACATTTAGTACTTCCTAAATAAATACGCAGATCCAAAAACGTATGTTTTTTTTTTCTAAATATATAGCAAAACCTCTGTAGGACTACAGTATGTGTGTTTACTATCTGATGGCTCTAAGGGTTAACACTTATGTCCTTGGCTGCTTCAATCTGCAGTTGTATGTGTACCCCCTCGCTAAAGTTCATAGGTGAGAAAAACCAGATTTACTGTTTCCACCCTAAGTTACTCCAAATGAGTTCTGTATATGTATATATATATATATATATATATATATATATATATATATATATATATATATATATATATATATATATATATATATATATATATATATATGCACTGTTGCTGCATGCTTATCCTGGAGAGAGAAATTCAGTAACTCAGTACAATAAGCTGGGTTTCCTTAGATGGAAGACATGTCACTATATGCTGTATAGATAAAATTAACTGAAAATAAAGTCAAATAAATACATTTGGTCTATCCAAACTTATTCATTTAATATATATATATATAAGAACAATCTAATGCTTAGCTATTAAAAATACATATTTTTGATGAAACTGTTAGGGGTGTCAATTGGCATCAGTGAAAGTGATATTTTGTCTAAATAATCATATCTAACATGTTTACTGCTGATTAGATTCAAAGGAAAATAAAATGTTACTGTAGAAGCAGGACAAATGTGGTAGTATTAGAGATACTTTTTCAGTTTCCTCATGATGATGGGGAACTCTTTGAATCAGGCAGGTTTTATTTTAACCAACCCTTAATGAATATGGAAGAGTTGAAACAACTAACCAAGTCATAACTTGATTATAATTAGAATAAGCTTAATTTGGTAGGTATGTGTACACATTTGACAAATATTAATTTGTGCATACTAATACAATAAGACAATAATACAGTGGCAAAGAAAACGATTATAGGCTGTGGAATAGAGAACATATATGCATACTATAAACAAAATGGGCATTTTTTTTATCATTCAAAATATCTGTTTTTAAACCCCTATGATCAATTGTTTACATTGTAAAAGCAAAGTAATTGCAACACATTGCATAAAAAGGTGTCACAGTTTAGTACAGTTATCATGAAGAAGAATGATATTCAGTCTCAATTGTAGTTTAGTAGGTGGGTATTGTGTATCTGAGGCAGGCCATTTGGTGCTTTTATTTACATAATGTTTAGATTCATATACATCTATTTATAGACGGTTTTTTTACGATTATTAATCTCTTTTTCAGATTATATCCTAAACATATCGGCTGTGATTCTTTTTAGTTGCAACGAATGCAATTAACTGTTTCAGCATGAATGCATTGAGTGTGAGTGCATTTTTTTTTTTGTGTGTGTGTGCAGAGTTTGAATGTTGTACAACCTCTGGCCTAATGGGGGCAGCATATCCCCCTCCAGTGAGATATCTCAGACCGCGTTACCACCGCTGTCTATAAACATGGATGGGTCACACTGAATGCCTAGAATGCTCGTGGAGCGTTTGTAGATCTGCGCAACGTCCGGGACAAGTGCTAAACCAGAAGGGCTAGCTCTGTGCACCGTCATCTACATCATATTTAGCGGAAATAACTGATAAACTTTCTAACACTCTGTTAAAGCAGGTTTGTTTTTAATCGAAGGAATATATTTGTTTTAAGTTGAGGGCTAGAGCGGGTTATGTTGTTGTTTTTCGTGCTTAATGCTAACATGTGTCTCATGCTATAGCTAGTTTCTGTTGTTGACAGGTCTGAAGTTCAGTGCACTTTACTATGACTTAATATGTAAATATGTAGTAAACGGGGCTTTTTTATCAAGCTGCTGGTTTCATTGTTTTATTGTTGTTTATATAGCCTGCACTAATAAAGACATTTCAGGTAACTATTGTTTTTCACTAAATAATCAAAATTGATGTATCCACTATCACTGAAAATAATTTTCCGTGTGTTGCTCAGAGCAGAATTGATGGCGACAGGTTAAAGATCTTTAACTTTATTTTCATGCTTTTTTGTATTTGACGCTCTGATAGAAATCCAAAGTCAAACAGGAGGGTTTTTTCAATGATTTCACTGGAAATGAACTAAAACAGTTTGTAACAAAATGGAAAAAAATTGACCCAAGAAAGTAGGAAACTATAATCTTCAAAGTGAAGTTTCCCTTAGCATTGATCAGATCTCCAACATAAAATGATCCAGCAATCAATCATTTCATTAGGACATCGCAATTTAAGATATGTTTTGATGAAACCACAGAATAGTTCACTGTAATATAATTTGTCTTATTAAAAAAAAACAATAAATTACTTCTATGCTTTATTGATGTTTGTGATCTAAATCATATTTTTTTATTGTAATAGATAGTGAAACTTGTTTTTTGTTTTTAAATACTTGAACAATAATACAATTATTGCTTTCTTTTACTTTCTAATGTCATGTTTCTCTCTACTGTTCTCGGTAAAAGCTTTTATAGTTTTTTTGTTTTTTTTTACTGAAAACTTTAAAACAATCTAATGACATCTGTTTCTTGTTTCCTTGAACAACAGCTCTGTGTCTGATGTCCAATGGCACCATGTCCACCGTCAACCCCTTACTTCAGCTTCAACAATGAACTGTGGGAAGCTCCCGGCTGTGAGTGAAGAATGGCTAGGTTTAGGCTTAAATCCTGCATCAGCTTAATCGCATTGGCCTTGCTCCTACTCATTATAACGCTGGTTTTAAAGACTCTCACCCCTGAGGACTCCCCTTTTCACAGGCCTGTTGAAGTTCAAGTCGATCTTCACAGACAGACTGCTTCTCAGAACCAGAGGGAATACAACAAAAGACCTGTAGAGATCAAAATGAGTGACCCTGCTGAGTCAGACAGGGATGCAGAGCTGGAAAGCACACTGAGGAAGTACCCTCCTCCAAACTACTATCTCCATGCCTTCTACTATATTTGGTATGGAAACCCCAAGTTTGATGGCAAATACATCCACTGGGACCATCCACAGCTGCCACATTGGGATGCACAAGTGGCTCAGCAATATCCACAAGGAAGGCACGTACCCCCTGAAGACATTGGGGCCAACTATTACCCATCCTTGGGGCCTTACAGTTCCAGGGACCCCGCTGTTTTAGAGGCACATATGCAGCAGCTGCGTACAGCAGCCATTGGTGAGAACAATATAAAGCTTGGCTATTAGATCAAGGATTATCAGTGATTAAAACTCTTTACTTTCCTATAAACTTTTTCAAACTGATGACATTAATAGGATGACATAAGGTTCAATGTATCCACCTTTTTGTACTGGGAAATTGTATTATTCTCTGGTAATAATAATATTTGTCTGCTAAGGATAAAATTCAACGTTGTCTTTTGTTGTTGAGAATATTTCAGTGTGTTTTGGGCCATTGAGGTCTGCTTCCAAACAGAAAGATATTGTTGTGGTTGATTTGCGAAAGGTTTCTCTTATAAATGGCAAACAGGATTTGGAACAAAAAAAGTAGAATCTGTTTTTGCCAACATAAAAGTTGCAAAAACATTTCTTCTGTTTTGCTTGAAGTGCAGAGTTAGAGGAAGGAAGAAAGGCAAGCGCCCAATAAGACAAACTAAGTCTGGTTTAACATGATGAAAATGTAGTTGGGTTCCTTTTTTTTTTTTTTTATAATTCCTCAATCTTTTTGTAAGATCATTATTAAGGTTCAGTCCGGTGTTCAGTGAGATCAGCATACCCTGTCAGCCCAGCATACCCGTAGTCAATACGCATGCTTACGTCGGATTTGTGTATCCCTTTAGTTTTGTACAACAAATACAATTTAAACTACCTAAACGGATGTGTAACCCTTTAGTCATGTCCCTAAAAAACAATTTAAGGTCAGATCGCCATGCGCTTGAAAAAACACCAAAAAGTATGTCATGAAATCATTTTTTTGTACATGACTAAAGGAATACATGCTCATTGAGGTAGTTTAAAGTGTACAAAACTAAAGGGATAAACAGGGATATACTAAAGGGATTAACAGGTTTTGACTATGGTTATGCTGGTCTGACAGGATATGCTCATCTGATGTAATCTATGCCAAGAAGGACACATAGAGTTAGTCCTTGGAGAGAAAACCTTTCGGCCACGTTTAGTAAATGTTGAACAGAGATTCTCTGACCACTGAGCAGAGAGGAAAGTAGGTGTAGAACTGCAAGTCAAAGACCCAGTCCAGTTCGCTGAGACATGAAACATTAGATTGAAGGCCAAGAGTCAGGTGGATAATCTGATAATCTGGACCTGTTTTCGGCAACAGAAGCGCTCGGAACATTAAGGACGTTCTCCGAGTAATTCAGACTTTTTCCCACAAAATAAGTCAGACATTTAGAAATTAGGGCTGGGTAAAAAAATCGATTTAATCGATTTTTAATCGATTCCTTTACATTTTTGCAAAATCGATGTGTAGGGTATGAGATTGATTAGTTTTATAGTGATGTGTGCAACGTTCACATTCAAATGAGCAGGCATGTGCAAATGCCGACCCAAGTAACACACCACTCAGCAAGCTGTCCAAACTGAAGTCTGATGCTGGAACCATTTTGGATTTGAAACAGCTAAAGATAATGTGCTGGATATGTGACATTAAGGTGACTTCCCACTACATTGATAATGAGTGGCGCCTCGCATCTCCTGCTACAGACCACCAAGATTATTCAAGCCAGACAGCTGTAAATATAGCCAATAGGTTGACTGAAGACATTAACAAAAGGGGGCTAACCAGCAAACACCCTGTAGTTGTTACAAACAACGCTGCAAATATGGTTTGTGCATTGAAGATAATGCAGCTCATGCATGTCTGCTGCTGTGTCACGTCTGCTTGCTGGAGAGAGGCTTCACTTTTTCACTTGTCACAAACAAGTTTGCACTTTTAACACAGCTTTGTTCACATCTCAACTTTAAACTGTCTGATTAAGAAGTTTGCTCTTTGTGTTTAATATGATCATATTTTGAAATACAGTTGAACAACTTTCATTATTGTAAAAACAGATCGAATCGAAATTAATCGATTTAGAACTGTATGAATCAAAATTAAATCGATTCAGGACTTTGGTGAAAATACCCAGCCCTATTAGAAATCCAGATCATGTGGTTATTTGAAGAACAATGCTCACAGTCCTTTACATGGAAGTTTGACCAGCTGGTCAGGATTATTCTGGGACTCCTGCCTTCTTATGGACACGCCCCACAGAGAATCCCAGAGTGACCCAGAACTCTCTGGAGGAACAGGATTTTCCCCTCTTGCCTGTAAAGATCTTTGGACCCCTTAAGCCGGGCACACACTGTGTTTTTTTTTGTCATGCAAGAATTTTTCAATCGGACTTAGTTTCAGCCTTAATCTGGGGTTGTGTAGTATACAAGGGGTAACGAGGGGCAATCAGCTTCTAAGGACCACCCCCCTATCAGGAATTGTAAGGTTGGGAGAAAATCAAACATGTTTGAAATTCAGTCAGTGGTCGTGAGGTCGCAACAGATCATCAGGCCGTACAGTGCGAGAACATGCATCTTGAGCCGTGAACTTTCAAACCCTGTGGTTTCATCGTACAGTTTGAGCTGTAGCTGCATGCAACGATTGAAAATATTGCAAAGTGTATGTCCGGCTTCAGAAAGAGCTGAAGACGGCCCAGATTCTGGCTTCAGATGATCAGAAGTCAGTAACGGTCTTGATTGATGGATAGATTGAAGAATCAGGGGAACAAAACTGACTCAGGGAAAGTAAAATACTGAAGAATAAGCCAACATAACATTAAAATCTGATTACCTAATGTTGAGTCTGATTTTGTGTGTGTTTGGTCATCAGGTGTCATCGCTGTTTCCTGGTATCCCCCTTCAACGAATGATGACAATGGTGAGCCACTGGATGAGATAATGCCCACACTGTTGGAGGTAGCTCATAAGTACCACATAAAGGCGAGTTGAATAAAGCTTCATGCTTTCTGAGAAATCTTATCAGATGTTGAACAAATCCGATGGAAAATATATTTTTCCATTTCCAGGTTGTGTTTCATATTGAGCCCTACAAAGGAAGAGATGAAGTAAACATGTTTACCAATGTCAAATACATCATTGAGAAGTAAGTGTTGCTTTAGATTAGCTGATTTTATAGCTGTCTTCCATAATCAGTGAATAAATGTCTTTATTTACAATTGTTTGCAAATCTCTTCTCCTTAGATACGGAGACCATCCAGCTTTTTTCAAGTATCGAACAAATGCCGGCAAGCTCCTTCCACTTTTCTATGTGTATGACTCGTACTTGATTAACTCGGAGCAATGGGCCAAGCTGCTTAAACACACAGAAAGCGGCAGCATCAGGGACACACCGTATGACGGGATCTTCATCGCCCTGCTGGTCGAAGAAAAGCATAAAAGGGAGATCCTGACCGCAGGGTTTGATGGCATCTACACCTATTTCGCCACCAATGGTTTTACCTACGGCTCCACTCAGCGCAACTGGGTCTCCATCAAAGCTTTCTGCGAGGATAACGACCTCTTATTCATTCCTAGCGTGGGCCCAGGATACATCGACACCAGCGTCAGGCCGTGGAACTTTAAAAACACTAGAAACCGCATCAACGGCAAATACTACGAAACCTCACTGAGCTCTGCGCTGGAGTCGAGGCCGGATTTTATCTCCGTTACATCTTTTAATGAGTGGCACGAGGGGACTCAGATTGAGACAGCAGTTCCAAAAACGGGTCTAAGTGTATACCTGGACTATCTGCCCAACAAGCCAACCATCTACCTGGAAATAACTCGCAAATGGGCGGCAATATTTGGTGGAGAGAGACAAAGGTGGCAGGACTTATAATCAAAACCATTTATTTATGGTCTATACTAAACTACTGAAAAACTGCATCTCTTTTTTAAGTCAATTATTATGAGAAAGTCCACATTACCTACAGTCACTGTCATTATCTTAATTTCAACCCCAGTCATGAATGTGTTTTTTGATTTGCACTTGAACTGTTATTTTCTGTTCAGAACATTAGAGTAAAATAAAAGTTCTATACACTTTTATTAGAGTGAAAATGCTTGGTTGAACAGAGCAGTTTTTAGCCTGGATATGAAAAGAGAGTCTCAGTGTTCCTGATTTAGGAGAGAAGGCATTCGGATGGATGCAATAATACAAGCTTGCTGTAACAAGACTCTGGACCAGTTTTGCAGTGGTTGACGGGGTGAAAGACAGGCGGATGTGGCTGCTATATCTCAGGTGGAAGTAGACGGATTGAATAATGTTCTTAATGTGAGTTTGAGAAGGTTAAGTACCTTCAAAGGCTTAAATCTTACAAATACCTGAATTACTGTGCACATATGCAAAAACTCAGCAAGCAAGCTAGGTTTAGTGTTGATCTACTATACAATGTTCCTATTGCTTATTGAGAACAGGATTAAGCTTTTTTGAACAACACATCTTGTGAATAAAAGGTCAATAAAAGATATTTACTTTCAAAATATTTTTTTTAACCTTTTGAAACCTGAAATTAAACTTCCTGGTAAAAGGAGGCTTTCTACTTACAATGTGTAAATAACATGTTGGCGAAACGTACATTTCTAAATGGACCAGCTGCATATCCTGATCAGGATTAGGCAGTTGTTGCAAGCCTGAAAAAATAGGGCAACATTATACAGGTGCTGGTCATAAAATTAGAATATCATGAAAAAGTAGATTGATTTCAGTAATTCCATTTAAAAAGTGAAACTTGTATATTATATTCATACATTACATACAAACTCATATATTTCAGATGTTTATTTTGTTTAATTTTGATGATTACAAATGACAACAAATGAAAATCTCAAATTCATCATATCAGAAAATTAGAATATTACTGAAGACCAATAAAAACAAAGGATTTATAGAAATGTTGGCCAACTGAAAAGTATGAACATGAAAAGTATGAGCATGTACAGCACTCAGTATTTAGTTGGGCCTCCTTTGGCCTGTATTACTGCAGCAATGCGGCGTGGCATGGAGTCGATCAGTCTGTGGCACTGCTCAGGTGTTATGATAGCCCAGGTTGCTCTAATAGTGGCTTTTAGCTCTTCTGAATTGTTGGGTCTGGTGTATTGCATCTTCTTCTTCACAATACCCCATAGATTTTCTATGGGGTTAAGGTCAGGAGAGTTTGCTGGCCAATTAAGAACAGGGATACCATGGTCCTTCAACCAGGTACTGGTAGCTTTGGCACTGTGTGCAGGTGCCAAGTCCTGTTGGAAAATGAAATCTGCATCTCCAAAAAGTTGGTCAGCTGCAGGAAGCATGAAGTGCTCTAAAACTTCCTGGTATGTGGCTGCGTTGACCCTGGACCTCAGAAAACACAATGGACCAACACCAGCAGATGACATGGCACCCCAAACCATCACTGACTGTGGAAACTTTACACTGGACTTCAAGCAACGTGGATGAAGTGCCTCTCTTCTTTTCCTCCAGACTCTGGGACCTTGATTTCCAAAGGAAATGCAAAATTTACTTTCATCAGAGAACATGACTTTGGACCACTCACCAGCAGTCCAGTCCTGTTTCTCTTTAGACGCTTCTGACGCTGTCTGTGGTTCAAGAGTGGCTTGACACAAGGAATGCGACAGCAGAAACCCATGTCTTTCATACGTCTGTGTGTGGTGGTTCTTGAAGCACTCACTCCAGCTGCAGTCCACTCTTTGTGAATCTCCCCCACATTTTTGAAGGGGTTTTGTTTCACAATCCTCTCCAGGGTGCGGTTATCTCTCTTGCTTGTACACTTTTTTCGACCACATCTTTTCCTTCCCTTCGCCTCTCTATTAATGTGCTTGGACACTGAGCTCTGTGAACAGCCAGCCTCTTTAGCGATGACCTTTTGTGTCTTGCCCTCCTTGTGCAAGGTGTCGATGGTCGTCTTTTGGACAACTGTCAAGTCAGCAGTCTTCCCCATGATTGTGTAGCCTATAGAACTAGACTGAAAGACCATTTAAAGGCTTTTGCAGGTGGTTTGAGTTAATTAGCTGATTAGAGTGTGGCACCAGGGGCCATCAATTTTGAACCTTTTCACAATATTCTAATTTTCTGATATGATGAATTTGAGATTTTCATTTGTTGTCATTTGTAATCATCAAAATTAAACAAAATAAACATCTGAAATATATGAGTTTGTATGTAATGTATGAATATAATATACAAGTTTCACTTTTTAAATGGAATTACTGAAATCAATCTACTTTTTCATGATATTCTAATTTTATGACCAGCACCTGTATAGTACAGGATATTGACTCATATGATTCAATATCCTTTTAAGGCTGTGGTGATTCTAACTGATCATATCAGTCTCCTAAGCTCAATGGGAAAAAAAGAGAAGACTAATAAAAAATCCACTAAATACAGAGGCTCCTCTATTGGCAATGGGCATCATGTACATGTTGTCTTACATTCTAAATTTTTTTTTTCAAAGATGGTTTTTAAAGCTGTGTCATAATCCTTGAAATATAGTGTTATAAGCTCATGTTACTTGTCAGTTTTAATATTCTGTTTTACGCTTTGTTACATTTCTTCACTTTTTCAACTCATAGGAATGTATGGTACAGAAAGAACGTCTTTCATGAAACTCACAGAAGAGGTCTCTGTGGGCCATTGTTTGGAAGCTCTTTTCAGTTACACATTCTTAATGGACTGCGCAATCTTTTCACCCAGAATGGATTCATTTGATTTGCCTTCAGTGCATTTCCTTTTCTTTTCATTTAACAGTTTATTCTCTCTTTCTTTCTCTCACTCTCTCTAAATATATATATATATATATATATATATATATATATATATATATATATATATATATATATATATATATATATATATATATATATATATATATATATATATAATGTCTGAGGGACATTAGCTTCTCCTTGTTTAGCTTCTTACATTTTCTAATAATTGCTCCAACAGTGGAACTTTTTTCACCAAGCTGCTTGGCTATTTTCCCATAGAACTTTCCAGCCTCGTGGAGGTGTACAATTCTAACTCTAGTGTTTTTGGACAGCTCTTTGGTCTTGGCCATGTAAGTAGTTGGATTCTTATTGATTGTATGGTGTGGACAGGTGTCTTTATGCTGCTAACGACCTCACGTGCATTAGGATAATAAATGCAGTGGAGGCGGACATTTTCAAGGCAGACTAACAGGTCTTTAAAGGTCAGAAGGTGTTCAAATACTTATTTGCAGCTGTATCATACAAATAAAGAGTTTAAAAAAATCATATATTGTGATTTCTGGAATTTATTTTAAGATCGTGTCTCTGACAGTGCATGGAATGTCTGTGCGTCAAGCATAATGAGACCTTTCCGAATACAAAAAATCTGTTCAGTACTTAGATGAAGTTCTTGGATCTCCAATCATTCAGGCCATGAATAAATGTGAGTTTTTTCATGAGGGCACAGAAAAAAAAGGAATAAAAAAACAGGGCAAAAGTTAAACAATTAATTCATTGATTAAACCAAAGGGCCATTTGCAGCTTTGGAAAGCTCAGATCTAGCAAATGAGCACTATGATCCTATCTTAGTACGAGTGTAGCTGAATGTGCATCAATTTTAAATCATTGAAAAATAAAGCTGTAAATATAAAGAATTTGAGTTGGTCCAAAGGAACCATTGGTTGTGCTTTCTGTTTCTACACATACCCTAATTTATTTACCATATATTCATTTTGGCATTAGGATTTTGCAACAGTGGCCATAAAGGATGACAGACCAGGTCTGAGGCGCACATTGTCATGATCCAGCTATTTGGGGACTTTTTGAGTTTTAATTTCCTTTTTCATTTATTTATTCTGTATTCTTTGTTTCTTTTTCATTTTATGTCATTGTAGTTGTTTTCTTGTTATTTTTAAGCAGTGTTGGGATTCTCGAGTTACTCTCTTTTTTCCGTTTGTCCCTGTCTCCTTTCCCCCTGGCTCCCTTCTTTTCACTTCTATCCACACCTGCTCCTTATCAGCTCATTAGCCCATTCTTAGTTCTGTTCCCCATATATACACCACCAGTGCAGTTTATCATTGCCAAATATCAATTGAATGTAGAATGATATTGATAAAAGTAGGTAAGTAATGACGATGGACAAGATGTTCTTACTGAACACTCCTTTATGACTTGCAGAGACTAATTTTCTCTTTACCCTATATAACACAAAATCTAGTTCTGAAAAGAGCATGATTTCTGTATTTATTATCTTTGATGTTAGTATATTGATGTGTATAATTAACTACAAAAAATAAAAATGTTTTGAACATTCCACTTGAGAGTATTACTCCTTCCACCATCTGTATTATAGGGAGAAAATGTTAGGGGTGGCCAATGATTGGGTAAGAGTGGTCATGGCCACCCCTGGCCCCCCATCTAGCTCCGCCCCTGAACAGTGTAGATTGATAGGCACCAGAACCTGGTACCTATCCACTTTAGGCCACTCCTCAGTGTACATTGGATAATGCCTGGCCACCTTTTAAAAAAATTTCTGGCTACGCCTCTGCTCTAGAACCACCTATGCTAGAGGATGAAAAAAACAACAACAACAAAAAAAAAAAAACTGACCACACTTTTCAGATATTCATTTGTAAAAAATGAAAGCACTACTTTATGTTGCTGATGAAGGTTCTCAGTCATCCAGGTCAAAGTCATTCCGTAAAAATTCAAAAAATATCCACTGGACTTGGTTTTCAAGATTTGAACTAGATATGCCTACTTTATGTTGGCATATCACGTACATTTCCGTAGAAATAGCATACGTACATTTGATTAAAATAAAAATAAACAAATAAGAGCGTTTTTTCTAAGCTGCACCCTGGCTGTAAACAGAGCCAGGTAGCGCATGAGCAAGGCAGCAGGGAATTATTCCACATCCCTGCGCATACATGGCGTCCTCTCACACCGAGCAGTGAATTTAATATGCAGCAAATCCAAGTGCCCCCCCCCCTCCTTTAATTCAATCTCTATTTATTTATTTAATTTGCAGCCATCATCTCCTGTCTCCTGCAGAGGGGGCGATGCGGGCAGCGTGCATCCTTACAGTCGCCTCCTCATCCCAGAGGTAGGATCGTTTCTTATTCTTTTTTTGCTGCAAACAGCACAGCGGACTGGATGCTGCTCCTTTATTCCAGGCGCATCCGCAGCCTCTCTGTGGTGCAAGGTGTCTTTGAAACGGATACGGGGAGAAATCCGAGGAAAGCTTTCTTATGACTCACCCATGTCGAGGTGGTGAGTAGCCTAAGAGATTCAGGTTGTTATATTTGTTTGTTTACTTCTGTCTTGTTATTCGGCTAATTAGCAGCAATCTCTGCAGAATAAAAACAAAACAATAAAGAAAGAATCATCATTTGATTCCTTCATGTTTGAATCAGTGTGCTTCCACCCTCCTTATGAATGGGACTTCTGTTTTCTTGGCTGTTTTGCAGCTCCAGACATTTTCAGCCTCATCACTCAGGTTTTTATTCCGGCGTTTGGGACTCAATTAACGGCGCTGTGTCAGTCGGCTGCAGAGCACATCTCGGATGTTTTCCGCTATCTGTTAACTTCACACAGTCAACCATTTTAAATGGTGTCTTTGAAAGCATCACGTTTTGAAATGACCTTCACTGCTCGGTAGCTGGAGATCCTTTCTCACAGGATCTGCTGCACAGCAGGCATCCTGCAAGGATGCTCTAAATCTGACACCTTTGTTTTCACGCACACAGGTCCATTTCTTTGGGTTTTAATTGGGCCTTTTATCAAGATTATCTGTTGGATTTGAAACACTTATGTTGCTAAATACAGCAGCAGTTGTAGGGAAGGGAAGGGGGCTGGGTTGACCTGTTATATGTGATGCTTAGAGAGACCTCAAAGGTTTATGGTGCAGGCATGTGCTTCAGTACAGCTCTACAGTAATGCAGCAGCTGCTGATAGCACTTAACACATAAAATATTCCCTTTAAATCAAAGGTACATTTTAAACGGAAAAACACACAACTATACATTGTGCAGAGGATAAGAGATAATGTAAATCTAAAAAAGTAGGGCAGCATTTGATAGGACAGGATAATGACTTGTAGACAACCTAGAGGTTTGTTTGTCTTTCAGCTTTTCAAAAATAATTCTTCCCACTGTGGAAAAACATGAAAACATAAAGAAAGCTTCCCTTATTAAACCAGGGGCGGAGCTAGATGGGGGCCACCCTTAACCAATCATTGGCCACCCTTACTATTTTCCTTCCTCTAATACAGATGTTGGCAGCAGTAATACTCTCAAGTGGAATATTTAAAACATTTTACATTTTTTTGGTTAATTATACACATCAGTATAATAACATGAACTATCATAAGTGCAGAATTCATGCTCTTTTCAGAACTAGATTTTGTGTTATATGGGGTAAAGAGAAAAGGATGTGTCTCTGCAAGCCATCTAGGAGTCTTCAGTGAAATCATAGATAAATAACAATTATAATAAAAACGTATCAAATAATATTAGTACTCATAAATATTAATTTTATGCTGAATTGATACAACTAGGTAAGTAATGACAATGGAAAAGATTTATGCCCCAGAACTCAAAACTGAAAGAATTTTATCCTCTATACCTTTTATCGAGAAAATACAGATGTTTAAATATGTATTGTATATATATTTGTTAGCAAAGGCTGTAGGAAAGTACAGTTTTTCTTTATTTATAAAATATGGATGTTTTGCTCATTAATTTTCCTGTTGGAATAGTGTAGATTTACCCTGAGGTTCTGGCACCTCTCCGCTTTTGGCCGCCCCTCATTGTACATTGGTTATTGCCTGGCCACCCTTATAAACATTTTACACCTTAAATCGGCTCTGGTTGCAACTACACATTTTAAAGAGTCTGAAGTTTTTTTTTTTCATAATCCTGCACAAATTCTTAGAAATAAAAGAGTAAAAACAACAATCGATGAATGCCCCTTTTTAGATATAAATTATTGAGAGTAATTCAGCACAACTACCCAGGTAGAAAAGTGCAAGTGAAAGCAGACACTCACATACACTGTTTACAGAGGCATGGCATTTTATTTCCTCACAATAAATCTGACTAAACCTTTCCTGTGTAAGGTCAGTTGCAATCATCAAAATTATTTGTATTTAATATAAACCAGAGTAATGGAAATTATTCTTTTTTTGGATGAGATATTAGATAGCATGTGGAAAATAGTGGATCTAAACAGATCTGGTTCATCCTGGGGTACATATCAATAGTTATATTGGTTTTAATAAGGTGTCCACAATTCAGAAATTAATACAAAGAAGGAAAACTGTATTTATAAAATATGTCCAAGATTTTGACTGTTTTTGCATATTAGGATATAAGTCATGCAATTTCAAATCCAATGATACTAAACAACAGAGAGGGATATAACAGAAAAAGGCCCCATATTATTTTGGGATTTAGTAAATTGTTTTAGCAAACGTTTACACAGATTTAATGTCAGACTGAGAAAAAAAAGTATTTTTTTTTTTATAGCTGAGATGGAAATATCTGTTTTACTGTAGCAACTAGGATTACTGTTTTTTTTCCATTGCCATGTTGAAACTACCTATTGTGTTTATAGTGCAGATATGTATAAGTATTTATTGGATTACTGATACAAATGAGGAAAATATACACATCAACATTATTTAAATGTCAGTATTCTTTCCCCTTTTTGTATTAAAGATATAGTGGAGGATGTTCTTTTTACAGGTGGATCATCTAAATAAGTAATCCTCCTAATTGTCAATCATTCTGGTGATATGTTTACGTAAGGCCATCCTATGTGCATGTTCCCATTTTCACTTATGGGTGGTAAGTCTGACATAGTGGAAAAATTGCAATTCTTCTTTTGGAAATAAAGCTTGCATCAGCGATGCAGATAGCAACTTTTAAAAAGAGTGTGCAAGAGGAGAAATGGGCTTGTGCATGCCCTTGCATGTGTTTAATAGGCGTTCCCTCTTAAGGAATCAGAATCAGAAATACTTCAATAATCCCAGGATGAAATTACTTTCATTACATGACTCCATATGTAATAGAGTGACTATAGGACCAGTTTGATATAACACAATTTCTTACAATATATATAATTAGGGGTCTGCCTTTCAGGACTTAATCCAAACAGTTTATGAAATAGTAAAAAGGAAAAGTCTAATTAATCAAACTATGCTGCAATGGACTTTACTTTATAAACCAAAACAAATGCTTAGGATCAGGGTTAGTCTGCAGCATTTCCTTTCCAGCAGGTTCCAAGAATCTGAAGTCAGTGTTTTCTGTTTACTGCAATTAGCTATAACCTTTTACTTGTCTTCCTCCTACATGCCTTAGATCAATGGCTTTTCCACTTTCCAACTCTTCTTCATTTACTTAATGCCATGTGAACTCTCTGTCAAGATTGGCAGAGGCCTGACAATGATCCATTTAGAAATACATTTTAGCTACCCCAAAAAATGGGGTGTTATTTTAGAAATCTTTGTCTCATTGTGTGGTCTTTTGTCAGACAATGTATTAGTATTATTAAAATAAGGTGACGAGGTCTTCAGAATATAAAGAGGAAGAAAAGATGTAAATAACTCTTATTTAAAATCACATCTTTACAGAAAATGTCTGATGTGTACTAAGTATTTGCTGATGGTACCAAACTAGTAATGCCACATCTTTGAATATTGTACAGATTGAGAGCAGAGAATATAATAAAATATCAGATTTGTTATTTAATATTTAGATCATATTGAGAAACATTAGTGTTTCTCATGTGTTTATTTGATCCAAGTTTGACAATTATGGATCAGCCAGTAACTGGGTGTAAAAATCGATCTGTGATGAGAGGAAAATGCTGCAGCCATCTTACCATGCTATGATATGTACAATACGTGCTCCTCTTGTCAAGGTTCATTTATTTCCACCCTCCTTTTTGGATTCGCTCTTCAACGTTTACCTTCTGCATTATACGGTTAAAGAAGATATATTAAAAACGTATACATTCATAATTTGATCAATATCAAGGAATAGTAAGATGGCCTTGTTTGATTGCTCAAAGGAGTTCCCATTTGGCAACTTTTATTTATGAGGCATTTCTTGGAGTGTCAATATCTGATCAGCAATACCCTTCACTCTCACAATTAGCTTCTGTAGGTCCTTTTGCTCTTGCATTGGGCAAAAAAACCTTTGTTCACTGAAATCCCTCCTCCTGGAACCTGTTTTTATTTAACTTTTCTACTTTTCAATTAACAAAACTTATCTAATTGGGTGCTTTTACTTGCAAACTAAAGGGTTTCTAGGCTGATTCAATAAAGTGTATCTGTTAGTCATCTTATTTTTCTTTTAACTATGTAACTTTATCTTTTTTTTTGTTGCTTCTTCTTTGCCAGGGATCTCTTGTTAAAAAGGTTTCTATCCTGGTTAAATAAAGGTTAAGTTAGATTTAAAATCAGCCACATCCCAGTAACAGAGGTATTTTTATTGATAGAATTGCATCTCATTAGACTGATTGACTTTTTTTCTCTGTGACATTAGAAATTAAATTAGTCTTTGGTTTTTGGTTATAAAATATAAACCCCCAATCAAAGGTACTAACTTAATGTAATCTAAAAAAATGTCAAACAAAACCATATTTTTAGCACCTTTTGTAAGGATGTATAAAAATAATTACCGTTTATGGCACAATCTTCAGTTAAGAAACAGTTTTTCATTCCCACTCCCCATACTGTGGTTAGGAGGATGTTAATAGCAGCAACATATCTCTCAAGCCCACTGTTGGGAATAAAGAAATGGAAACCTGCATTCAACAAGGACCCAAAATGAAAAAGTATTCATTGTTATACCATAAAAAGTTGAATTAGTGTGAAAGAAGACCACCTCCCTTGCTAAGCATGTTGGAGAGGTCTTTCAAGAGTCTTGGACACTTTCTAAGATGGTACAACATTATCGGGGTTTGGTAAACAAAGCATTTAAAAAAACTGAAAATAGACGGTCACTCAGTCTTTTAAGAGCATGAATGGATGACCCTCTAAGATAGACAGGGTTACAAGGAATAAAATTTGCATTCTTCAATCATTACCACAGCACCTAGTGTTTCAGTCCAACACAAAACCTGCTTTGAGAGCTGAAGGGAACAGAGAGGACTCAGGACCGTGAACATGCTGAAGAAACTGTTCAAAAGAGAATGGTAAAACATCCCCCTGTCCCAATATTGGGAATTAAATACTTTTATTTGGACCTTCCTGCTTAAAATAGGGTAAAATTATATATCTTTTTAACT